TGGCTATTGAATTTATTAGCTAAGACCACCACTTGGCTTAGTCAAAACTTGTGGGGGCTGATCGTAGCAATCGCAGGGCTGTTGTACGTATTCGCTAAGAACTATTTATCCAAATCAGTTCGCTAAGAACTATTTAACCACCAAATCATGAGTAAACCAACTGAGACTCCACCCACTACAAGCGCTGTTTTTTCATCGATATGTTGTTGATTTTTAGCCTCAATATGCGGTGGCACTTGTGCGTTAGTAGATGGTTGTGCATTAAAAGATGTTTTTGTGATAGTTGGTGTTTGTGGCTTGACTATTCCCTTTTCGCCCGTGATCGTTTGCGTTATTAATTCGACGTTAATATCTGAATTTATACCTGGTTTTTGTTGATCGGTAGCGATAACAATTTTATTATTATAACCTATCACTTGACCGATCTTAAGTTCCATATTACTCGGAGACATGTATAGTCCCGGCGCATAAACGTAGTCCACTTTGGATTGAGCGTACTGTAATGCATCTTGAAAACGCTTTATAGACGATGGTATGTCAACTGGTGAATTAATGGCGTCCTCCACGTTTGAGACAAACTGTTTTTGCGCATCGAACGCCGTCCCAGTACCGATAATGGACGTTCGTGTTTGCGATTGTGCACCGAGAATTGCCCACACATAAGTTCTTATCGATTCATTAACTCTTACAAATCCTGGGTTAGTAAAATTATTTTCCGTTTTATCATTAAGAAATTCATTCCAAGCGTCATCGTTCAGTTGTACAAATTTTTTAACAATATAAATAGACCCACTCTTAAAACTCATAATATCCCCTCTCCAATCGTTACTATAAAGTTCCCAGCCTTTATACCAATGACCGGTTTTATGCCAATGATCATATATTCTTGCGTAAAGTTTGCTGGTGCTATACAACTTTCCAAAATTAACTGGACGTTTATTAAGTGTTTTATATACATAATCGCTTTCTTCTTGGACAGATTTATTTTCCTCTGTGTCAGGAACACCTAGACCATGGTTTGCTTCTTTAATACGCCAATCTTTACTCGTAGAAACATTAAATTCCTGACAAATACGCTCATACACGGACCTATCATAATTATTATTTGTGGAATTCCACGCTCGATCCTGCGGTAATGGAGCATTAATTTCTTTAAGTATACGTCTAATCTGATAATACATGTGAAATGTATGAATTTTTTAAACCTAATGGAGCTAGTCTCACACAAAATGAATCTAATGGGATGTTGAAATTCGAACATGGAGAAAAAAAAGTAACTTTTTACGAGGACTTAGCAGTTACATTTGGATTTGCACGGTTAGTAGTATTACTACCCAAAAAAATAGTGCCCGATTAGTTCTGCCCGATTTAGTTCCCTATAAGGAGTTGTGCATCCATCTTGATCAAATAAGCACGACGGATAATATTCTACTAGAAAGTCCTTCAACTCTGCTCAGATCTGTCCCAGTGAAAAATGAAAAATACAATAGCCGTAGAAGGGAATCTTTCTCGTTATTACAATATAAAAAATTAAAGCGTGGTATTATTTCAGACCTTAAAATTTCTGTATTAGATGTAAAACACCAACCTGTACATATAGGATACTTAAGTGTAACACTCCATATTAAAAATAATGGTTGATGCCATATTTAAGTTATGATATAGTATCATTGTATATTTAATATGTATGTCACACTCCCGGGAATAACAAATGGTCAGTCTATTGAACTGCTTCATACTATCGATAACTCGGATGGACAACTCGAAGTCGCTCTATGCGATGTAACGTATTACCCACGTTGGCCCAATATAAATGCTGCGAGGGGTAATAATAAGATATGGATATTAGATGAACAAAATATTATTGAAAAATTCATTATTATACCTGATGGGTATTACAGCGTATGCTCACTCAATGATGAAATTTTTAAGCCTAATGGAATTAGTCTAACACAAAATGAGTCGAATGGAATGTTGAAATTCGACACTGGTGAAAAAGGTGTACGGATTGTAGGGAACTTATCAGCTACACTTGGATTTACACGCGGAATTTTAGCAATATTCAAGGCAACATTTGATGGAGAGACATTGTCCGATTTAGTTCCCTATAAAGAGTTGTGTATCCATCTTGATCAAATCAGTACGACAAATAATATTCAACTAGAAAGTCCTTCAACTCTGCTCAGATCTGTTCCAGTGAAAAATGAAAAATATAATAGTGGCAGAACGGAATCTTTCTCATCATTACAATATAAAAAATTGAAGCGTGGTATTATTTCAGACCTCAAAATTTCTGTATTAGATGTAAAACATCAACCTGTACATATAGGATACTTAAGTGTAACACTCCATATTAAAAATAATGGTTGATGCATCAGGCCCTGGAACGCTCAGACAATGTAATACAATTGCGCTTTCCGATCTCGGAGACACAGAAGGATTTGATAAACCCGGTTACAATGGTAAGTTATACGCTTTACACTTACACGATAATGTATACAAGAGGAAAGAAGTCACATTCACGGGTAATCTAGAAGATTTAAGCGATGTCGACGTTAGTAGACTAATTAAAAACACTTCGTACAATATTATTCGCAACGACGAGAATAAATGGACTATGGTCGAAGCAAACATTGAGTGGCAACTGAATATCGTCATTACCCCACCTTATGTGATGATGGGTAAGGGACATAATTTAACTAAGATAATGAATAGTGGCATCGTACTCGCGGCTTATATCCCGTCAAAACGAAAAAGTGTGTTAGTTACCCCCCTGCCAGAAAACCCAGGTCATATGTTATATAGTCGTCCGACCTTAAAAAATATTACTTTAAATTTGGTTACTGAATTCGAAGATATTAAAGATAACTTGAGTGCAATACCTAATATTTCCACGCTTATTATTGAAGTCTTGTTCGGAGATGCACCGGAAGATGTCTTCGAAATATTACCAGGTCTATTGATTAAATGGCTCAAGAAACACGAGCGTCGACGTTGCAGTATTGTTCATATCGGAGCATCACCCGTTGCAACCCTCGAGGGGGTCCAAATTATTAAAAGTGACAGTATTTCTCTTTCTAAGATATTCTTGCCGTATAATATACATTTGATAAGGTTGATGTATAGTCTCAAAACATTTAAGCAAGACCAATTAAAGACTATTATATGATCGTAATATACACTATGAGTTTATATCCAGCGCTCCATGAAGCATTTGAAAAGATGGAAACTGTTGATGGATTTCGATTACATCAAATAAGCGACATAAAACATCGAATAGAGAAGGATAGGGAGTTGAGACTTGGATTGTATAAAAAGTATCGCAGAGCCGTGAATGCTCTGGACGGAGTTGACACCGCTCTTGTAGTATCTGGCATGGGACTCGGTGTAGCGGGTATCGGTTTACTATCAACTATAATCGCCGCGCCTATCGTGCTCGGCATGGAAATAACCGCTGGAGTCTCGGGACTGGCAGGAATAGCGATAAAATTCATTTCTCGTAGGTTACAAAAGAAAGCATTAAAACACGATAGTATTCGGATACTCGCTGAAGCAAAGTTGAACAGCATTGAGGATCATATTTCGACAGCAATGGCCGATTGTAAGATATCCGAGGATGAGTTTCGTTTAGTGCTGTCGGAACTCACCAAATACAATGAAATGAAGCAGGAGATTCGATCAAAATCTCATAAGACCAGTGGTATTAGCGAAGACGAGAAAAAAAAGATCATAGAACAGGGGAGGCAACAAGCGAGTCAGTTATTCCGTGCCAAAACCAAAGAACTGGTTGGAGATTAAAAATAGATTGCTTACTATCGTTAGATCACATTTAGACAAATGCTTACATAAATATATAATAATGGAGAAAGCTATTAAATGGAGAGAATTACCACAAGGTTTTTATTATATCAGTGATGTCAAACCAACCAAATACGGTTATCAATTGTTTCTTATCAATTTACAAAAAGAGTGTAGTTATATAGTCTGGTCTCCTAGTAAAATGAACGAAGAACTTAATAAAAATGTTGAATATCGCTTTATCGATAAAAATAATAAAGAATATTTTTATTACCATTTAGACTCATCTAAAGCAATGATTGGTCCCAGGTATTGGTGAGCTGGAGCCAATTTAACTTCATCTCATGACTATCGTTAAATCGCATAATCATTTTGGCATAAAAAATCCCCCCTGTAGTAGCAGTATAGGTATATGAATCCGGCTCCAGTGGAAGTGGTCCAGAACCATCATTACCTATAAAAATTTGTATCATAGACTCCAGGTGGTGGTGAGCTGGAGTTAATTTAGCTGAATCTCATGACTATCGTTGAATCGCATAATCATTTTGGCATAAAAAATCCCCCCTGTAGTAGCAGTATAGGTATATAAATCTGGCTCCAGTGGAAGTGGTCCAGAACCATCATTACCTATACTACTACCCCGGATATTCACGGTTCCTTTGGTTTGAGTTCAGTTTAACATGTTTAAGTGATGTATTGCCAAAAATGGCAATTGATTAATTAAATTCACTGATTTTTCATGATTGAAATAAGCACAACTGGGAATGCTGGGAAGCATAAGGCTCACAGTCACCATTTTTTAGCTCACCTGACTTGTGTGATGGTCTGTTTGTCCATCTTCTGACTGATCTGACCTTACTATAACAATTCAGGGCCCAACCTTCATCTACAAGACAGCAGATATGCCTGGATATATTGTATTTTCTGTATTGGTCGTATGTTCCCAGGGGGCTGTGCAGAGTTGCGTCCCTTGGGCACGCCACAAACCTATGATTGTGGGTTCGAATCCCGGTTCGCCCCGATTATGTTTCTAGGTTTGTCAGCACCATACCCGTGCTCGTGGGTTTCACCGAAGTGGTAAACGTCTGAGACCTGCATCACTTCGGGCTTTCCTCCCACATTAAGCTGACATGCCGTGATATAACTGGAATACTGTTAAAAGCGGCGTTAAACCCGACTCACTCATTGACGTATGTTCCCAGGACGGTGATGACAATGGTGGTGCACTGTCTGGAGGCGGCGTATGCAGAGAAGCTGTGCATGTGAGTACTCCGGCAACAAAGTGCTTGAGCTCACCAGAGCACTATCTTCTGTGGAAGCCAGTTTTGGTTGATACATAAAGAATCTCACCCTCGTGTCTTTTGATATCAAATATATCAACATGAGTTGATAAAAGTGGAAAAATTCCGAGGCTTGCCGAGGATTTTTGCCACTTTTATCAACGAGTGTTGATATATTTGATATCAAAAGACACGAGGTGAGATTTTATTTATCATCCAACATCATTCTTTCAACTTTTTCCATTTGTAGACAGTAATTAGCAGTGTCTTCAGTGTAAAAAGTACTGCAAACAGCTTCAGTAGCAGAGCCATTAGTGATGTCATTTGATTGTGACGTCATGGTAACCAGTGACGTCACAATGTTCTGCAAACCATTGTGATGTAATTTCATTGCAGCGATATCTACAGTGTAGATAATCTTAGGATATCTCCTGTGGGAGCCAGTTTTGGATCATAAATAGACTTTACAATGCAAGCATGTGTGTCATACTGATTTTATGAAATGAGTGTCAGAATTCTTGTATTTCTTGGGTATTAGGTGTCGTTTGCAGAAACCAGTGGACTATTGAAGTGGAAACTTTCCAACAATGATGACACATAAATTAATTCAGGTTTTTTAAATCTGATTTTCAATATGGCCTCTATGGCAGTGGATTCCGTCCCTAGTACCCGAGGCTTGCCTCTGTATGGGGATGCTGGGGTAGAGTGGGTCCCCTGTGTCCGAATACTGTTCAAACAGCATTAAACCAAACTCACTCACTCACCCTAACAAGTGGACATTGTATGTTTCAGAGACAAGCAGCTCAGCATGGGGGCCTCAGTCAAGTGGACGCTGCAGACACTGATATTCGGATTTGCTTCTCTTATAAGACTAAAACCATACTCTCCATACAAAAAACTCTCTTAGCTCATTATATAAAAAACTTGTTTTATTGTACATATTACCTTGGTATGTATGTGTGTGCTTTTAATTCCAATGTTGAAGCTCAAAGAAATATATGATCATGATCATTGGAGTTGAGGTGGAAATTCAAGTGATTAAGGGTCCAGACAAGTAAGGGCAATGGGGCTTCTGGACCTGCCCTGCCCTGCCCTGCCCTGCCCTGCCCTGCCCTGCCCTGCCCTGCCCTGCCCTGAAAATTATATATATATATATATATTATGTATATATTATACAGTAAACTACGGTTATAACGAACTCAAAGGGACTACTAATTTTAGTTTGTTATAACCGCCATTCGTTATAAGCATATATACACATAACTACAGCATATAATCGGGACTAAAAAGTTAGTTCGTTATATCCGTTAGTTCGTTATAACAGTAGTTTACTGTATGTTCCTTTAATCAATTTTGTCATAAGAAAAAACAGTTGCATTTGATCATACTTTGTTTGTTTGTTGATTAATGCCGTGATCAGCAATGTTCCAGCTATATGATGGCAGACTGTAAATAATCCAGTATGGACCAGACAAGCCAGTGATTGACATCATGAGCATCGAGTTGCGCATTAACCAAGTTGGCAAGCCTGACCACCAGATACCGTCAGTCGCCTCTTACGACATGCATAGTTGCCTTTTATGGCAAGCATGGGTTGCTGAAGACCTATTCTACCCCGGATCTTCACAGGTCTGGACAAAAGGGGAGCTCGTGAGGTCTTCCATGTTATTATCCCCCGCCGCGCGAAAGCGCGAAGCGGGGGATATAGTATTCACGACCGTCCGTACGTCCGTCCGTACGTACGTCCCACCTGTTTGTTGCCGCGTTATCTCAAGAACTAAACACTGGATTGTCTTCATATTTGGAACTATGGTGTATATACAGACTCCGCAGACACCAGTCGGTTTTGGAGACCTTGACCCAATTTTCAAGGTCACAGCAGGCAAATCTGCTTTTGGAGTTGGAAAACGGTGTTGCCGCGATATCTCAAGAACTAAACACTGGATTGTCTTCATATTTGGAACTATGGTGTATATACAGACTCCGCAGACACCAGTCGGTTTTGGTGACCTTGATCCCATTTTCAAGGTCACAGCAGACAAATCTGCTTTTAGAGTTGGAAAACGGTGTTGCCGCGATATCTCAAGAACTAAACACTGGATTGTCTTCATATTTGGAACTATGGTGTATATACAGACTCCGCAGACACCAGTCGGTTTTGGTGACCTTGATCCCATTTTAAAGGTCACAGCAGGCAAATCTGCTTTTGGAGTTGGAAAACGGTGTTGCCGCGATATCTCAAGAACTAAACACTGGATTGTCTTCATATTTGGAACTATGGTGTATATACAGACACCGCAGACACCAGTCGGTTTTGGTGACCTTGACCCCATTGTCAAGGTCACAGCAGGCAAATCTGCTTTTGGAGTTAGAAAACGGTGTTGCCGCGATATCTCAAGAACTAATCGCTGGATTGTCTTCATATTTGGAACTATAGTGTATATACAGACACCGCATACACCTGTCAGATTTGGTGACCTTGACCCCATTTTCAAGGTCACAGCAGGCAAATCTGTTTTTGGAGTTGGAAAACGGTGTTGCCACAATATCTCAAGAACTAATCGCTGGATTGTCTTCATATTTGGTAGTATGGTGTACAGGCGGGGGATATTTCGTCACTCTGTGACAAATACTTGTTTTAAACACTGATTAGGGAAACCCTTGGTGTCTGCCAACGTGTTATGGTATGATGAGTGGCATAAAACAATATTCAATCACTGACTTCATGTGTTATTGTATGTAGGGGGCGGTTGCATAGCCTGGTTAAAGGGCATGTTAAGTAAAAAAATCATTGCAATTTTTTAATTTTTAATCTTCATATATCATTTTACCTAGATACATTTAGTCAATTTCCGAGAGAGAACAATTCATAATAATTGTAGAAAGTATTTAAATGTCCAAGTGAAAGTGCTGAAATCACAGGCTCCGTAATCGGGCTTCCAAAACCAACCTATTTGGGAAAGTGGCTTGAAACTACTGGAGCAGCGGTGACAACTGGCCGTTACGTTTGCCGCGTTTATCCATCTTGTGATTCTAAACGGTTATACATATACTGTTTCTGCTATTTTTGTTAATCCTACAAATATAACAACGTTGCATGCATTGTTGAATGTGTGAAAGGACCTTAGATCTCGACATTGTGAATAATTAAATTAAAGATCGGTTAGAGTTTTTTACAAACATCCTGTTTGGGCCGAACACACAATAAATGCCTGTCAGGGATTAATCCCCTGAGTAAACATCTAGAAGCATCTTCAGTGTTGTTACCAAGGTAACATAAGTTGTGGACACGGTAACCAAAGGGAAGCGCTACAGAAAAAAAGATGTGCATCACAAACCAGTTAGAAGCAGGCAGACTGGGCGTTGGCCCGATTGTCATAAGTGTTGAAATTGTGCCGTCAAACACCGGGAAACCTAAATTACCGCCAGTAGGGGGATTCCCCAACATGGAGGAATTTATCGTTTGGGGGATGAATTTGCATGTCGTATTTTAATCGTCTGTTTTAATCTATTTCTGTTTTTCAAATTTGATTTGGGTCAAACATTTGTGATTTAGTATGCCCTGAAGTAATAAAGTCTGGTAGTTGCTATGTTGATTTTCTTTGCCCTTTAAAGCAGCGCTTGTCACGCCGAGGCCTGGGTTTGATTTCCCACATGGGTACAATGTGTGAAGCCCATTTCTGGTGTCCCTCGCCGTGTTATTGCTGGAATATTGCTAAAAGTGGCGTAAAAACTTGACTCACTCACTCACTGTATGTAGATTCCAGGTCGAGTTGCATAATGATGCGTAAGAGTGGTTTGTTAATGAGTAAATGGATGCATGATGTATATTTTATATCTTGTATTATGTTACATAAAGTTATGAATAAATAATGATTCTTGTTCGAGTGGTGTTCAATGTTACAATCTCATTAAAATCGCAACTTTTATTACTTTGCGTGAATATCTGACAACACTTCCACAGCTAGGTCACTTTAGGTTAACCATGAGCAGCCTTTGACCACCCAATCTGTGTGACGAATGTGTTGGTCCAACATCCAAACAGATGTCTGCTCTCTCAAACCCTTCTGTTTCATTTCTGTACCACTTCAATACAGAATTTCAATCTGTCACTTGCGTTCTGGTCTCAAGGATCTCGATCCGTGAAGATTCGGGTAGAGAACAGGTCTTCAGCAACCCATGCTGGTCGTAAAAGGCAACTATGCTTGTCGTAAAAGGCAACTAACGGGATTGGGTGGCCAGGCATTGACTTTGTTGATGCATGTCATTGTATCCCAATTCCTTTATCGATGCTCATGATGTCAATCACTGGATTGTCTGGTCCAGACTCGATTATTTACAGACCGCCGTCACATAGCTGGAATATTGCTGAGTGCGGCGTTAAACAACAAACAAACAACCAAACAGTTGTCTGGATCATGATGTCATGCAGCTGGAATATTGGTGAGTGTGACGACAAACAACATCCTTCCTTTACTTCCACTCTGGAATATCACAAAGCTCAAAGATGAGGTAGCTAAGCCGTTAAAGCGTTCACCCGTCACGCCGAAGGTCTAGGTTCGATTCCACATGATGTACAGTGTGTGAAGCCCATTTCTGGTGTCGCCTGCCGTGATATTGCAAAAAGCGGTGTAATATCATACCCACTCATAAAGCACAAGAGACATATTCTGTCATATTTCATTTATTACATTATCTTACAAGTAATTTTACATGTGTACAGAGCAGGGATGACAGGGCTATTGAAAGGCAGCTGAATTGTTTGTGTCCGAGACCACGTTCAGCCTTGGGACTTTCCTGCCAGTTTCAACTTGTCATCCCCGACATTGTAATTGGCAAACAGATGATAAGAGCATGCATGAGTGTGAGATCGGACCCACGCAGTGAACGCGGGGATGTGATGAGGAAAATATCACCAGAATTATACAAGACCAGCAACAGATGCTTCGGGAAAAAAATGTCAAAAATGTTTGACGAAAATGATAATCAAATAATTCTAGTTCATTGTGAGAAATGTGGGACTAGGTTCAATGGGGGGAAAAAAGAGTATCTAGCTACAAAGATGGGTTTATCTCACTTGAAACAGTGTCAGTTATTTCGATGTTATCAGGGACGGCCACAGCAACACCGGAGACGATGTTTACCACCTCGGTAAAACCCATGGATGTGACAACAGACCCAAGTTCAATATGTGGAAAATCTGGGATTTGAACCCATGACCACCGGATCCTGGCACACTTAAGGGAAGCAACTCTGAACAAGGAGTTTCTATATACAAGCAAATCAAACATTCCATGACTATTTCTCGTATCAGGTGGTTACTTTTGGAAACAGCTACACTGACATCTGGTGTAGAGGTGAGGGATTTTATATCACTTGAACAAGTCTGCTTCAACTCGGGTAGGTGACAGGAAGAGAACGCCTAAAGTGTGCAACAGCTGTATGTCTGCAGATGTAAAGTGTGCAACAGCTGTATTTCTGCAGATGTAAAGTGTTTCTTTTTTGCCTGGACCTGCTTTACATTGCTGAGCGCTGCTCAAACATGCTGGGTATATAGATCACATGAGCTCAGTTTTATCACAAATGATATTTTGTCTTTTTATCCTGATATTAGTGTACTGCTTAACATATGGCTTCTTAACAGCTGCTCAAATTTGCTGAAACTTTACTTTGAGCTTGCTGAAGCTTGCTGAAACGTGTGGCTGATCAACACAAACGCAGAATTTTACTTTGAACTAGCTGAAGCTTGCTGAAACGTGTGGCTGATCAACACAAACGCAGAATTTTACTTTGAGCTTGCTGAAGCTTGCTGAAACTTGAGGCTGATCAACGCAAACGCAGAATTTTACTTTGAGCTTGCTGGAGCTTGCTGAAGCTTGCTGAAACTTGAGGCTGATCAACGCAAACGCAGAATTTTACTTTGAGCTTGCTGAAGCTTGCTAAACTTGTGGCTGATGAACACAAACGCAGAAGTTTACTTTTAGCTTGCTGAAGCTTGCTGAAACTTGTGGCTGATCAACACAAACGCAGAATTTTACTTTGAGCTTCTGAAACCTGAGGCTGATCAGCTCGAATGCACACCTTTGCTGAGAGCTGCTGTCTTCTGCTGCTCAAAGCTGCAATGGCACGAGGCCTTTTAGGCTGCTTGGCAATCCAACCTAAGTGTTTCAATACCCAAACCTATTTGTTATCCACAACTATTATGACCATCTGTTTCTATACAGCTACTTCTAGTGATCGGTCCTATAGCACCTCTGTCTGTGGCGGCCACTGTAGGGGCATCACAGGGCTGCAGTAACCATCGAATACTGATCAGCATCTTTGGTTCAACTTGGCTTTAATGTGGTTGTCTGACAGACAGGACTCGGATGGGTAGAAAAGACTCGACGGACCTGTTTCAGGACTCCAGCCCCTGATTTCATCAGTAAATGACATTTTATGTCCAATATTCTTAGCATCTAAGGCGCGACATTTTTTCATTGATTTTGAAAACGAATTTGTCAGTATGTTGAAAATATGTACAAAATGCAATGTGCTGGATGCTTTTATTCATCTCAAAGTTGTATCTTAATCGGCAGGTTATAAACAAACCTTGTCCTGGTTTGTGTCCTTAAAATCTGACCGCGACATTTTGCTGTCATTTTTATTGTCAAAGCGATCTTTACCGTCCTCGGTATAAAATAACCTTGTATCATTCTGATTATCTTTTTGTCTGAATTTTTTATTTCTAAGGTCAGCGGATACCTTGACCTCACAAAAGAAACAACCCCAAAACATGTCTGAAACTACAGTTTCTCTTCCACACCTATACAACAAGCGTGTTCGAGAAGGGAAAGATGAGTTATCTCCCCTTGTTGGGTATTCAAGTACGGCGTCAAGGGTTCAAGTCCATGAAAGCTATCCCAGTACTCACTACCTGCCCGAGCCCTGCTGACAGAATGCACTGAATGATACAATGAATGCATGACGACGTATGATACACGATTAATGACATTGCTAATAATGGATCGCCATACCAATACAGGAAGTGTTTCTGTTGTGAGGAATACTGTCACATGACAAGGCTGTGGCAGTAGTTTATGTTGGTCCTGATGCAGTCAAAAACGTACAGAAAAAAAGACGACACTCAAAATATTACTCATCTTGAAATGGCTGTTTCAAAGAACAATCATTGCCCAAAGACTTTCATGGCGACTGATAATTTAAGTTCAAACGTGAGAAGCACTATGACTGTTTTGAGGAACTGACCCTGCAATTAACATATCCCACCTGTCAATCAAACAACATGGTTGACCAATCAGCAAGCCTGAAATAATACAAAATCCTTTAATCCTTAGACTAATATGAAAGCGACATATCACCTGGGTCAACTTTAAGGTAAATGTTATTTAAGATATTTCCACTCTCACTACAGGTTAATTCTGTCTATTCATACCCCTGAATATTGAAACGCCTTTAAGTTCTTGTTCAAATTCTGATTGGTCCTACATAACCTTGACAATAGTTGACCTTGACCTTGACCTATATTCTATTCCAGCCAACTGTTATAGAAATGACTGTGGATATGGGAGACAATGCATTTATGTAACAAGCAGGTTTAATAAAAATGAGCATTTCTAAAATTAAATGCAATGTTTTTATACTTAGTTGACGCAGATTCAAGAAAGGATTTGAAGATAGAATCGACAACTAAATTGTAATTAAGATGACATAAATTATATTAGAACATTGAATAGTTTTGACAATTCTCTTGGAAGACATTTGTATTTTTTAAAGTCAAGAAATCTCTAAGAAAATCCCTTCAATAATTTTTTTAAAAAATGAAGAAAGTTTGTGAATATTCCACAGATCATGTACTTAGAATTGAGGGGGGCTTTACTTTCTGTTTTTCACGTTTATCCCACTGATCAAAGAATCATCATTTTATAACATTGTTATGAATCTCACATGGTGAATATAAAGCATAGCCTCTAGCACGTTCAATATGGTCTGTTAGAACTTGGAACATATTTCTGTTTTTATGTTCTGGTGACTATACAGCACTGGACTGGAGTTGTCATAGTAACAAAATATAGCCTCTGAGCAAATCATTACAGCAAAGTATCTGTGCGATGAGCTAATACAGAAATAAATGTCATTTAAACATCTACCCCAAGTGAAGGGCGACATGTTGGGAGCATGAGCAGGGAAACTAAAAAATAGATACTAACTGAAAGTGATAAAAAAAACCTTGGAGGCTGATGGTTATGGGTGGGGCTTGAAGGTTGATGGTTATATAGGGCAGGGCTTGGAGGCTGATGGATATGTAGGGCGGGGCTTGGAGGCTGATGGATATGTAGGGCGGGGCTCCGAGGCTGATGGTTATGGGTGGGGCTTGAAAGTTGATGGTTATATAGGGTGAGGCTTGAAGGCTGACGGTTATATAGGGTGGGGCTTGGAGGCTGATGATTACATAGGGTGAGGCTTGAAGGCTGACGGTTATATAGGGTGGGGCTTGGAGGCTGATGGTTATGTAGGGTGGGGCTTGGAGGCTGACGGTTATATAGGGTGGGGCTTGGAGGTTGATGGTTATGTAGGGTGGGGCTTGGAGGCTGATGGTCATATAGGGTGGGGCTTGGAGGCTGATGGTCATATAGGGTGGGGCTTGGAGGCTGATGGTTATGTAGGGCGGGGCTTGGAGGCTGATGGTCATATAGGGTGGGGCTTGGAGGCTGATGGTTATGTAGGGCGGGGCTTGGAGGTTGATGATTACATAGGGTGAGGCTTGGAGGCTGATGGTTATGTAGGGTGGGGCTTGGAGACTGATGGTCATATAGGGTGGGGCTTGGAGGCTGATGGTTATGTAGGGCCGGGCTTGGAGGTTGATGATTACATAGGGTGAGGCTTGGAGGTTGATGGTTATATTGGGTGGGTCTTGGAGGCTGATGGTCATATAGGGCGGGGCTTGGAGGCTGATGGTCATATAGGGCGGGGCTTGGAGGCTGATGGTTATATAGGGTGGGCCTTGGAGGCTATATACCTACCAGTGGGTATGGGGTGTTGGGCTTGGGGAGGGGTGTTGAGGCGTGGCGAATATCATGACACGTACTAAGATATGGCAGCAACATGAAGTTATGGCACTGAGGTATACATATGATCCCATTCTCATTGCCATGGTAACTAGAATAAACACAATATATCTATAGTACCTAGACTCTTCTGTTGGCTTAGATCAATTAACATCACACATTGTAGTCCATTTTAACTAGATTCTACATGATTATGCAAACTGTATGAATTATCAAAAGGGTAACCCTAAACATCTCAGAGTAAATAACGGGCAATCTTGATTTTCTTCACAAAATCAATAAACTTGAGTTACAATGATGGGAGAACATATACTGCTCAAAACAAGTTAAAGAACACCGACAATTGGAAGGCTGTTTTGCAATACCCACCAGCTAGTGAGTGAGTGAGTGAGTTTGGTTTGACGCCGCTTTTAGCAATATTCCAGCAATATCACGGCGGGGGACACCAGAAACGGGCTTCACACATTGTACCCATGTCGGGAATCGCACCTGGGTCTTCGGCGCGACGAGCGAACGCTTTAACCACTAGGCTACCCGACCGCCCCCCACTAGCTATGACAGATGAACTCTGAATAGTTCATATGAAAAGAATCAGGACTTCTTTAACTTCTTTTGAGTAGTATATGTCCGCCTCCTTATTCAACACAATCATCCGAATTCATTAACTTCATGACAGAGTTTTATATAACCATACAAAGTATTTTAAGTTTGTGCTAGTCGTGCAGATGACACCTTAAACCATTGACTGATCACACACATACAAAGACACACTTCAACCACATCCTTGTACCAGTTCTCGTAAAATCAAAATTGCATGAATCTTGCACCCAACTAAACGCACACTGTGCAATGTACAAGCACGCGCCATCACGGCTCTCTATACATACGCAATATGAAAGCACACAAACGCTACATTTGCTAAAATCAGAATCAAATAAAATGCAAAAGAGATACAAATTTGTTAAAAGCAAAAAAGCACCATTAACATGTATCACCTGTTCACCCTTGTAACAAAAATAGTATGTTCATGTTTGGAACAGTCTATTGCAGAATGAGGTGTGAATCAGGTCGGAGCCGTCAGTGACAGGTAAACACAACCAGAGAATGCGATATTTGTGCAGTACATGGTATACGATACGTTAGCACCTACCTGCAGGAGGGCAACACTCCTATTGTACATTTCAATGATAGTTGGACTATTCATATGTTGTATTCACTTCCCACTATAAACACTAAAACATAGTCCAACGAATAAGCACTGAAAGAGTGCAACCGCTTTGAAAAATTCATGTTGGTTAAAAATACATCATCAGGGCCGTGTCAATAGAATGTGTTTTCAATTTCAAAACATATTCATCTTGATTGTATCAAGACAGTATTCATGAAAAACCTTTTCTTTAACTCATGAAAATGGTTCAAAACATTAATCAGGTTCATTTTTTAGCAAGTAAAACATAATAACATTGCATCTGATACTTGATTTGAATTTAATATGATTTAGGAGTAAGATTATCATCATAAGCAGATGTTCTGACAAGCATAGATAAATACTGCCACAGACATGGAACCACCTATCAAATATAAACTTCAGTGGAAAATGGCATGCAAGGTTTTGACACAGCCCCTAAAGTCCCCACTCACAGTTCATTGTGATCTGAGTGCTGTAACCATAGAAATATGGTCTGAACTTATATTAATTTCTGTAATTCTTCTAATAGCAAAATAATGAAAACAGCTTAAATATATTTATAACTGCTTAAATACGACTGTCAAAGAAAGATTTCAAACAGTTGACAGAATAAATGTATGTGATATAAAAACATTTGACAGACCAACTGAAACTTCTATCAAACATTTGACAGATGTCCAAAGTTCATACAGAATAATGTGATCCTATTCAAATCCTTGTATTGTGCAGTATTAGAAAGAGGGAAGTTTTGGTTATATTAACCAGCATACACAACAAGGGAGATCACTCTCATACACAACAAGGGAGATCACTCTCATACACAACAAGGGAGATCACTCTCATACAAAAAAATAAGGGAGATAACTCTGACAGGCACTCTCACTGATGATGCCCACACAACTATAATACTCTCACCGCCTTGTTAGAAAACTAAGAACAGGGTGTCTATTAAGGTTAAGATATTAAATATTTTGATTGAATTTTTCAAAAGAAAAAGGTGACATAAATTAACAACTCTATGGCAATCTGTACACAACTGTAAATCGTACTAATAAAGTTAACTAATTACTAAGTAAATTTTGAAGAACTTTTGATTCCTCTGAAATTAGTTTGGCATACCGTATTCGATGTAATAAGCGCAAAGGGCGCTCTCAAAATTAGAAATAGGGGGCTCTTATTAGAATAATATCTTGGTGAAAAAAAACCAGAGTTGAAAGAAAAATTTCATGGTTTATGCTGACAGCCTGAAATGTTTATAGACGACAGATATATTTTTCCAGAATTTAATTGCCCATTATTAAGGGTACATATAACACACGAATGCGTATCATACGCGAATAAATGTCTTGTGTACATTGATCAATTGGAAGGGGTGCTAATTGGGATTGTTTACTAGCCAATATATACGCAAATATCTTATTAGAGCGGGGCGGGGCGGGGCGGGGCGGGGCGTTTATTACGTTGAATACGGTAATGTTTAAAGCTATCACATTATGTTATTTGGAAGCACTTAATTAGTTGTTTCAAAATTTCATTTCTATGATTAAGCTTCTACTGAATGTATTACACGCTAAACTAGTGAATAAATAGACACAATATTCTACCTCATCATCCTAAAACAACCTGTATCTAGAAACTTGTATCAATGGCATCAGCTGTTTTAGAACTATCACAAAAAAGTCACCCTAACTCTTTGTACATATCTAAAATATCAATTAGTTAAATGCTGAGGCAAAACAGATTAAGATAAATCACGGAATTTTTTTTTTTAAATGCATATTTCATGATTAGTCTTGATAGTGATTCATAAACACGTGCTTATGATATTGTGAGAATCATAAAATGGACTCTGCTTTAGGTAGAGATTTCTTCTGATTATGGAAACGTTTTTTGCAGCTTTTATTTAGTATTATATACATTTTATTTGTTATTGTAAACATTAGGGTGAATTTAGAACCATTTGACTGCCCAATCGTCTCCTACGTACTAGTGTCACTGATATAATTAAACTGTTTCGGGCTACCGTATTTCCACGATTAAACACCTGGCATATACTTCTTTCAGCCACTCTTTACCCCCGTTGTTTAATGGCAGAGATAATTATTGGGAGAATTCTGTGCAAAAAACATACACTGCGTTTTATCAAGGCCTGGAGTTTAATCGAGACTCCGGTGTTTATTTGAGGAAATACGGTAGGTTCCACTGTCTGCAGCACATCATAAGACAAGTCCCATTCCAGAAACAGATCTTAGCTCCGATTGTCGTATCTCCCATTCCATAATATAGACCTACGATAGTTATTGCTCTGGAAGTGCTTCATGGAACAGGATTCTTGTTGTAAGCTGTGCCCTAGGTTAGAGCAAGGCTTTGTATTTGAGGTATCAATATATTATGACATTGATCAACATCCTCACATGCGATTCCACTTTCGCTAGGGATATTTCACTCTTTTCATGACACCCAAAACCGATTCTCATAAAATGTCCAGTGTATTTTTAAATAGAATGACATATCAGACTATCCCTTTCAGAAGTTGAGTAGCATATGTGAGCTAGCAGGCAAGTAGAGTGGTGCTTACATGTTTAATGCTTGACTAAACCTACCAGGCTAGTTTCTACTAACAATACGCACACTGTTAAGAAATGTAAAACAGTTAAATTCATTTTGACCTTTTGTTAAGTGATGATGTTTTCAAAACATATTCACCAGCACCGACTTAATTACATGATTTTCTAAATCTAAATGAGTTACGATTCATTCATTCATTTATGGTACGATATTTGAGTTTTAGGGTGACTTGTACCATTAAAGGTCCGCTTGCATCCGTGACATGAAATAGTCAAGAAAAGAAATTGTCTCCCTTGATTCAGACAGCTATGAGATGTACATGAGAGGACATCTCAAAAAGTTCGTCAGCTGCAGACTTTTGAATTAACAAATGATTTGTAAGTTTGTTGACAAGTTTCAAACCTTCCTTACAATTTGTGTACATATTAAAAAACTTTTCAAAAAAACTTTTCTTAACTCGTGTATGCTAAACATTGGACACAGCACAGTCACACAGTAGAGGTCGCTTTTCGGTCACACGACACAGGATAAACTGTGTCATTACTTAAAAGCACTTTCCATGTTTTAACGCAAACGTTCGTCTTAGTAACAAACTGTGCCCCATCTGCCATTTAAATCTGCCATGATGTTCACTTGAGTAAAAAAATCTGAAAACCCCCACACCTCAAAACTTCCACATGCATTTGTTCATATGGTAACATTTCTAGCTGCGAACACGTAATCAAGTTGTCAGCGCCCCCTACGGGCACATGGTTATATACAGTATAATACAATCAACAGATCGGCTACACAAATTAATTCTCTGAAACATCAACAGAACAGCCTGTATAGGGGAGATAACTCTATGGCACTATCTTCAAGGCGTATCCACCTCCATCTTGGAGTCGAGACGACTGAAGAGGCGGACTCGACGCGAGCTGTTGGTGGCACTGTTGATGACTTCCATCCATCTGCAGAGACAAGGGAACATGGCCGTTAGCACTGGAGCATTTACATAGTCATATGTTTCTTGTATGGTACCCGTGAAGATCTGTGTTAGAATAGGTCTTCAGCAACCTATGCTTGCCATAAAAGTGAGTGAGTGAGTGAGTATGGTTTTACGTTGCTTTTAGCAATATTCCAGCAATACCACGGCGGGGGACACCAGAAATGGGCTTCACACATTGTACCCATGTCGGGAATCGGGAATGTGCGAACGCTTTAACCACTAGGCTACCCGACCGCCCCTCTTGCCATAAGAGGTGACTGTTTGTCGTAAGAGGCGACTGATGGGATCGTGTGACCAGGTTTGTTGCATTGGTTGATGCATGTCATTGTATCAAAATTTTGTCAGTCGATTGACATGATATCAATCACTGGACATAATTATTTACAGACCGCTGTCATATAGCTGAAATATTGCTGATTGCAGCGTTTAACAACCAACCAACTACTCAATAGATGCTAAAACTAGTAATAATGCACTGTGGTAACATTTGTCTGAGGTTTACAGGCAAACACAGAGGTGTTGAAGACATGTAGAGATGCTTTGTGAAAATTTGGCGACAAGCTTGCAAGGGGAGATCTCAAAATATTTACAGTAAAGCACAGGGTCAACCAAGTGAATGAGTATGGTTTTTACGCTGCTTTTAGCAATATTCCAGCAATATCACGACGGGGGATACCAGAATGGGCTTCACACATTGTACCCATGTGGGGAATCGAAACAGGGCCTTTAGCGTGATGAGCGAACGCTGGACCCACTAGACTACCCCACCGCCCCGGGTAAACCAACGAGCAGGCACAGACACACCAAGGATCATAAGCAAGGCAAATATAGGATTCAAACCCCAGACCATTAAGGAATGACCCACTAACAAACAAGAGACAATTGGTATAAAACAAGAAAACACAGAATTCTGAAACAAAGGAGATTTGATATGGACAAAAGGATTATAGAATTTATTAAAAAATAGGACTGGAATTAACAGAACATAAAAAGTAAACGCTGCCATACCTTGCAAACGTATACTCGCTCTCCGCACGGAAGAAGTAGACATGGTTTTTGAACTGCAACTTAAACACATGGTCTTTGTGTATGCCATCCTCCTCATCGGGCGTGTTCACTGCGTATCCTAGCAACGGTAGACTCGCCAGTGGAAAGTCATCCTGTGAAATAAGAGTCATGAGTTACGAGTGATTGAGTGTAGGTTAAGCCGCTTTTAGCAATATTTTAGCAATATCACGGCAGGGGACACCAGAAATGGGCTTCACACACTGTACCCATTTTGGGAATCGAACCCGGGTCCTAGGTGTGACAAGCGAACGCCTTAACCACTAGGCTACCCTACAGCCCCAATGAGTTGCGAACTGACAGTGCAAGTCAAAATCTTAAGACCAGATTCATCTTGGGAACTTATTTCCTACAACTGACGTTTTCAGCATGTTCTGATGAAGAAATATGAAGTCTACCTACTGATGGCATTCAGAATGAACACATTAACACAATACTTAACACACATTGTTCCCTATTCAATTTCACTGGTGTGTGCATTCATTTGTGACATCACCATTTTGTGTGCACACAGATTTCTCCAAGCTCCTTGCTTTCTCACCTGGTACGTCTTGTAGAAGAAGAGACAAAAGTTTGTGAAGACGACCCACAGCTTCTGCCAGCCGTTGCTGTTCTTGAACTTGCGCAGTAAGTAGCCGCTTAGCTGGTTCTAATCAACAGTAAATCACTGGTCAGTCTCAGGGTAGAAGACATCAAACATTGTAATAATATAGACGACCCACTATTACCTGACCCTACCCGGGTACCCGACCCACTATTACCTGACCCTACCCGGGTACCCGACTCCCTATTACCTGACCCTACCTGGGTACCCGACCCACTATTACCTGACCCTACCCGGGTACCCGACTCCCTATTACCTGACCCTACCCGGGTACCCGACTCCCTAATACCTGACCCTACCCGGGTACCCGACCCACTTTTACCTGACCCTATGCGGGTACCTGACCCACTATTACCTGACCCTACCCACTATTACCTGACCCTACCCGGGTACCCGACCAACTATTACCTGACCCTACCCAGGTACCCGACTCCCTATTACCTGACCCTACCCGGGTACCCGACTCCCTATTACCTGACCCTACCTGGGTACCCGACCCACTATTACCTGACCCTATGCGGGTACCTGACCCACTATTACCTGACCCTACCCGGGTACCCGACCCACTATTACCTGACCCTACCCGGGTACCCGACCCACTATTACCTGACCCTACCAGGGTACCCGACCCACTATTACCTGACCCTACCTGGGTAGCTGACCCCTATTACCTGACCCTACCCGGGTAGCCAACCCACTATTAACTGACCCTACCCAGGTAGCCGACTACCTATTACCTGACCCTACCCAGGGAACCGACCCCCTATTACCGACCCTACCTGGGTACCCAAACCCCCATTACCCGACCCTACACAGGTACCCGACTCCCTATTTCCTGACCCTACCCGGGTACCAGACCCACTATTACCTGACCCTACCTGGGTACCCTACTCCCTATTACCTGACCCTACCTGGGTACCCGACCCACTATTACCTGACCCTATGCGGGTACCTGACCCACTATTACCTGACCCTACCCGGGTACCCGACTCACTATTACCTGACCCTACCCACTATTACCTGACCCTACCTGGGTAGCTGACCCCTATTACCTGACCCTACCCAGATAGCCAACCCACTATTACCTGACCCTACCCGGGTACCCGACCCACTATTACCTGACCCTACCCGGGTACCCGACCCACTATTACCTGACCCTACCTGGGTAGCTGACCCCTATTACCTTACCCTACCTGGGTAGACAACCGACTATTACCTGACCCTACCCGGGTACCCGACCCACTATTACCTGACCCTACCAGGGTACCCGACCCACTATTACCTGACCCTACCCAGGTAGCCGACTACCTATTACCTGACCCTACCCAGGGAACCGACCCCCTATTACCGACCCTACCTGGGTACCCAAACCCCTATTACCCGACCCTACACAGGTACCCGACTCCCTATTACCTGACCCTACCCGGGTACCAGACCCACTATTACCTGACCCTACCCGGGTACCAGACCCACTATCACTGACCCTACCTGGGTAGCAGACCCACTATTACCTGACCCTACCTGGGTAGCCGACTCACTATTACCGACCCTACCTGGGTAGCTGACCCCTATTATCTGACCCTACCTGGGTAGCCAACCCCCTATTACCTGACCCTACCCGGGTAGCTGACCCCTACCCGGGTAGCCAACACCCTATTACCTGACCCTACCTGGTTACCCAACCCCATATTACCCGACCCTACACAGGTACCCGACTCCCTATTACCTGACCCTAACCAGGTAGCCGACTCCCTATTACCGACACTGCCTGGGTAGCCGACCCCCTATTACCGACCCCACTGGGTACCCAAACCCCTATTACCCGACCCTACACAGGTACCCGACTCCCTATTACCTGACCCTACACAGGTACCCGACTTCCTATTACTGACCGTACCCGGGTAGCTGACCAAGTATTTTATCAAAGTGATGGATAGTGTAAAAACAGGACCCATCCAACCCGAGTTACCTGTCCCAACCCTAGTCGAGATAATAAAAGTGTAAGATTGCATTGTGATACAACGATCTGAAGCTGTCATCCCCGCCCTACGATGGCCATGACTCCCATAGCTCAACGTACTTTGACTGCCTTCTGATGGTCTCGCTGACTGACGCTGGTGTTCCGATGCCAGCAGACGTGCATAGTTGTGTTGGCTCGATGCTGGATGGTCTTCTCGGGGGACGATGGAGATGACGCGTTCTCTCCATCTTGATGGTTTTCTGTCCCATCCATGTTCTCCGTGGAGCCTGGAACGCGTGTGACAATGTTTACCTCACAGAGCGACATTCGCGGAGATTCACCCATTTAGTTACACTTGGCTGTTTAATTTGCATACTCGTTGACTACAACATAAATGTCTGTCAGGATAGTCAGATGACTAAGAATATTTGTAAGATCCACTACTATTTCTGCTGACCGAAGGGCGAAGTGTTAACATATTTCGACAAATGGACAGTGCCTTAAAACCCGCAGCAGGGCCCATTTCACAAAGTGAGCCTTGCGCACCGACTATCGTAAGTTCTGTACCTAACAAAGACTTACGGTGCTACAACGACTATTGTAAGTCCTGTACCTAACAAAGACTTACGGTGCTACAACGACTATTGTAAGTCCTGTACCTAACAAAGACTTACGGTGCTACAACCACTATCGTAAGTCCTGTACCTAACAAAGACTTACGGTGCTACAACGACTATTGTAAGACCTGTACCTAACAAAGACTTACGGTGCTACAACGACTATCGTAAGTCCTGTACCTAACAAAGACTTACGGTGCTACAACCACTATCGTAACTCCTGTACCTAACAAAGACTTACTGTGCTACAACCACTATCGTAACTCCTGTACCTAACAAAGACTTACTGTGCTACAATGACTATTGTTACTCCTGTACCTAACAAAGACTTACGTTGCTACAACGACTATTGTAACTCCTGTACCTAACAAAGACTTACGGTGCTACAACGACTATTGTAAGTCCTTTACCTAACAAAGACTTAGAGTGCTACAATGACTATTGTAAGTCCTTTACCTAACAAAGACTTACGGTGCTACAACGACTATTGTAAGTCCTTTACCTAACAAAGACTTACGGTGCTACAACGACTATTGTAAGTCCTTTACCTAACAAAGACTTACGGTGCTACAACCACTATTGTAAGTCCTTTACCTAACAAAGACTTACGTGCTACAACGACTATCGTAAGACCTGTACCTAACAAAGACTTACGGTTCTACAACGACTATCGTAAGTCCTGTACCTAACAAAGACTTACGGTGCTACAATGACTCACGAAATGGGACCCTTGGAATCATAGTATCTTGTGCTATGACAATTATTATTTCCACACTTTAACAGATGTTTAAGGAGGCAGTAGTGCAATATTGTCAGGAGAGATACAGAGGAGTTATATCAGTTATAGTCAACAATGAGTGACATTGGGTCTACATTGTAGGTGTGATACTGACTTGCACTGGACTTGAGACTGGCGTACTGCAACTTGTCGTCCGTCCGGCACTTGAACTGCACAATGGCCTCATTCAGGTCCTCGATCCACTTGTCCTTCTCTTCCTGACAACTGTGACAGAACCATCAGTGTGATAATTCTAACCTCATCTTTCAAGACAAACACGACGACCATATCTGACTTGGATTCAGGGTCTCATGCTGATATTGTAATACTACAGGTAGGAAAGGTCACATTGAAATGCGTGAGTGTGGACCGAGACACCAGTGGTCAGTGGTGTGAGCACCGACCACCAATCACTGCGGGCGTTTCATGCTGCCATCTACCTCCAGCCGAAGCATCCAATCATCTACTGGTTGGTTCAAAGACATATATTTAGCTCACCTGGCTGCAACAAGGATGTATTTGTTCCCGGCGTAGATGGCAAAACAGTTCTGTACAGCGACCTTGCCCTGGTCTGTCTCCTCCACCTGCAACATCAACACCAACATCAACATCATCGTCGTGTATGACATCACTAAACTTGTTGTGCCAAGTGGATGGTGGTGTCACATCTCTATACTTGTTGGGCCAAGTGGATAGTGGTGTCATTAAACTTGTTGGGCCAAGTGGATAGTGGTATCATTAAACTTGTTGGGCCAAGTGGATAGTGGTGTCATTAAACTTGTTGGGCCAAGTGGATAGTGGTATCATTAAACTTGTTGGGCCAAGTGGATAGTGGTATCCTTAAACTTGTTGTGCCAAGTGGATAGTGGTATCATTAAACTTGTTTTGCCAAGTGGATAGTGGTATCCTTAAACTTGTTGTGCCAAGTGGATAGTGGTATCATTACACTCGTTGGGCCAAATGGATAGTAGTACAATGTTATTCAACATGTGTCACACTTACGATCATTCCCCTCAATGGCAGCTGACCATGGACCTTGAACTGCAGCAATGATGTCGCTGTACGGCTGGTATAGACTAGCATATCTGAGAACTGGAACACAATATATCCATGCAATGTAGACAGGTCTCCAACAGTCCCATGAATCTTTCCTTGGTTCCTATTGGTTCCTTGGACCCCAAATTTCATTACGTGGAACAGAATAATATGATCGAAAAAAATAATTAGTTATTAATTAGTCATTTTAATCCCCTTTTCATATTTTCCTATTTCATCCAACACATAATACTTACATAAAATAATTTAAAAATTACACATTTCGGCGTGACGAGCTAACACTTTAACCACTAGGCTACCCAACCAACCCTTTATCTGTTTTGAAAACAGACCCTGTTAGTTATAAGTTAAACTGTCAGTCAAACATGGAAATCCCCAAGAGACTTAATGTGAAACAACTCACCAAGAAAAACATCCTCTGTTGGTAACCCTTCCGAGAAAACTTCTGGAGGCAACCCTCACGGATGAAGTCCTAGAACATTAAATACAAACTTGACAAGCGTTCATAGTTCAACACCAGCATAGAGGTACTTCACTGAGGTGAAATGGGGTTTGACGTCACTTTCAATGTTATTGGACTTGTTAGCGCAAAATGAAGGCATGTGTGCATGGTTGCTTGTAGTTTTCTACACTAATGACGGTTTATAGTGCTAGCCCATCGTGATACGATGTCGCAGTTTAACATGGATACCCCACTCAGACACAGTAAACTGACTCTGAGCCGACAGTGCTTGTTTTAGCCCTTTAATGCCGAGCGCCAGACAGGGTAACAACAAGTACCATCTTTTAAGTCTTTTGGTATGACGCAGCCAGGGATTGAACCGCTGACCTTCCACACTCCAGACTCTATTCCAGTTATATCGTGGCGTGTCAGCTTAATGTGGGAGGAAAGCCTGAAGTGATGCAGGTCTCAGACTTTTACAACTTCGGTTAAATCCCTGAGTTTGGCGCTGACGAACCTAGAAACATAATCGGTCAGATTCGAACCCGCGACCATGGGATTCTGGCACACCTGCACTGCAAATTAAAGTGGCTCTGATGACTGGGCCACTCTGATCCCCACTGAACGAAGAAGGAAATTCATCATAACTGTTGCTCTTTTTCTTCCCATCAGTATATCTCTGACCCCTGACCCCTGTACACTCACCCTGTCGGCATTCACTACGTTCTCTATTCCAACAAGGTCTCGTTGTAGTTCTATCATCTTTTGAAGGTTTTCCTGGAAAACAAATAATGACCATCAAATACCTGTAACGGTTACAAGTTACACAGAGGAAACACAATGTTCTTAATCCATGAAGATCTAGGTTAGAATAGGTCTTCAGCAACCCATGCTTGCCGTAAGAGGCGAATATGCTTGGCGTAAGAGGCGACTAACAGGATTTGGTGGTCAGGCTCGCTGACTTGGTTGATGCATGGCATCGTATCCCAAACAAACAAACAAACAAACAAACAAACAAACAAACAATATTCTGAAATTCTGAGTCTTTGTTCAAGCACATGGTCCGACAACAGATGCCTGCAACACTGATACTGTGAGTGAGTGAGTGAGTGAGTGAGTGAGTGAGTGAGTGAGTGAGTGAGTGAGTGAGTGAGTGAGTGAGTGAGTGAGTGAGTGAGTGAGTTGGGTTTAACGCCGCTTTTAACAGTATTCCAGTTATATCCCGGCGTGTCAGCTTAATGTGGGAGGAAAGCCCAAAGTGATGCAGGTCTCAGACGTTTACCACTTCGGTGAAACCCACGAGCACGGGTATGGTGCTGACAAACCTAGAAACACAATTGGGGTGAACCGGGATTTGAACCCACAACCATAGGTTTCTGGCATGCCCACTCTGCACAGCGAATCGCGGCGCCTTAGACGACTGGGCCACCCATGCCCCTGATACTGTGAGTGAATCAGGCTTCATCAAGGCACGTCCAAATATTTAACATTGGAGGAAAGCCGAAAGGTGGACATTGGTGAAACATGACCATGAGTATAAACCAAGGATCAATGTGTCTTTGCTTCACCAACAACCAGCAGATGCTGGCATCTAAGGGACACAACTCTGCACAGCTTGCCATTCCACTCAGACAACTGTTGTTTGATGACACACTCAGCAAAATTCCAGCACCATGATGATGACCTTAAAAATCATGTCCCGATCAGACAATCCAGTGATTGATACGAGCAATGATCCACGTTGAGGTACTAGGACATATAACTAAACAAGTCACTGAGTCCGACCACCTGTAAGACTGATTCTAACCCAGAATATCCATGGGATTGTTATTGTGAAGATGTCCTTTACATAATTTGAAAGGTTGCATCAAACAAGAAATTGTATCAATCATTTCAAAGCATGAGTGAACATCTAGAATTAACCACTCACCACTCGCTTCAACTTGTCCTTGTAAGATGTCGTTACTTCCGTGACTTTAGCTAAAGCTTCTGTCGACAACAAACAAACATACTTAATAAACTGATCTTAGCGAGGTCATGAAGTACACAGTGTTTAAATCACCTTACAATCATTTATCTATGCCAGGGTTTAAGTCACCAATATCATCATGTACTGTAGGGTTTAAATCACCTTACAATCATCTATCTATGCCAGGGTTTAAATCACCAATATCATCATGTACTGTAGGGTTTAAATCACCTTACTATCATGTACTACATACATAACTTAATTCATCTTTACAATTATTTACAACAGAGTTTAGCTCACCTGTACAATCATCTAAATCGGCATGGTTCAGTGAATAGTGCTTCACTAGTTCTGAAAAATATGTAAAAAAAATGTATATTTGAACATTTCACATATCAACACTTCATAATATGCAACAGTTCCACAGAAAAGCTATCCATATTCTGTGTTAGCACCCTTTCAATAGACAGAATATTTTATGAGAGCTTCAAATACTTTTTACCCAAGTGTTCATAACGATAAAGGCACATATTGCAAGAACCTTCCTGGATCAGCTTCAAACAGACTTGAAATATATCTTATCACCCATTAAAAATGCTTATTTGTAGCTATCACCAACTAATAACAGAACCTGCTCTCCAAAGACAAACTTTCATTTTTAAAGATGAAAACTCATCATATATGAATACAAATATTTTGATTGTTTATAATTTCCAACAGATATATTACTACAAACGTGCAGGTAACTGCAGCCATGAGACGACCAACTCACTCTCTAATATCAACTTGAAGTGAAGCAACCTCTGGCCAGGTTTCAGGAAGAATGTATTCAAGGGGAGGTAACACACTTTTTGGGCTTCAAAGTCCTTGTACAACTCCTCGAACTTCCTGTTTCTCCTCATCTTGCTCTCTACCTCCGACAGAATCTCCTCCTGTCTGTCTAGGTAGTTGCAGTAGAGCTGTGGGAGAGAGGTCAGAGGTCAAGGTCAGATATCAGAGACGAGGCAGAATAAAGATTGACTGATGTCCAGATTTCAACCCACAAACGTTAGATCCTGCAGCAATTATTGTTGTTGTGGCACCTTACACATTTGAAAGAACGTAATTACACTTTCCTAAAATATGTATCACAAACTGTGTGTTGCTTGGACAGTTTACAAAAAAATAAACTGTAAAAAATAAATACCAGTGTCATAAACTACATTCTATGAAGAAACACTGTATGGACCTGACTGCCTCTGTAGTCTAGTGGATAAGAATCCAGAGAGCTGAAGTTCAGGGTTCGATCCCCAGCCGCGTCATACCAAAAGACATTAAAAAATGGTACTTGTTGTTTCCCTGCCTGGCACTCTGCATTATGGGGCTAAAACAAGGACTGGTAGGCTCGGAGTCACAACATTGTGTCTGAATCTGGAATCTATGTTAAATTGCAGCATGGTTTGTCATTGGGCTAGCACTATAAAACCGGCATTAGTTTGGACTAGTACAAGCAGCCACACACCCTCACCCGCGTCTCTACATAAATGAAATAATCTTGAAAGTGACATCAAGGTGAGGTGAAATGGGGTTTAACGTGGCGTCCAAGATTATTGCACTTATATAGCGACGTGCATGTACGTGTGTGTGTTTGTGTGGCTGCTGATGCCGATTTATAGTGCTAGCACACTGAGATACCATGCCGCAGTTTAACATGAATACCCCACTCAGACACAGTATACTGACTCCGAGCCGACCAGTCCTTGTTTTAGCACCTTAATGCCAAGCGCCAGGCAGGGTAACAACAAGTACCACCTTTTAACGTCTTTTGGTATGACGCGGCTGGGGATCGAACCCCGGCCCTGCCGCTCTCCGGTCGGACACTCTACCATTAGACCACAGAGGCGGTCCAAAAGTGACATCAAACCCCATTTCACCACTTCAATGGAATTTTCAATTTCACATGAAACAGATGGTAGGGATGAACAAATGTAATCATTTCTAAACAAACAGTGAGTGAGTGAGTTGGGTTTAACGCCGCTTTTAACATTTTTTTTCCAGTTTTTGCAGTGTGTCAGCTTAATGTGGGAGGAAAGCCCGAAGTGATGCAGGTCTCAGATGTTTAACACTTCGGTGAAACCCACGAGCACGGGTATGGTGCTGACAAACCTAGAAACATAATCAGGGAGAACTGGGATTCGAAGCCACAATCAAAGGTTTCTGGCGTGCCCAAGGGACACAACTCTGCACAGCAAATTGTGGCGCCTTAGACAACTGGGTCACCCGTGCCCCCTCTCAACTAACAGATAAAGAATATATGATCTAAAGCATTGTTGAAGCAAATACCCTCACCTCTTCAGCCACGACTAGAGCATTGAGAACAATGTCTCCGATTCTCTGGTAGTCCCCGTTCTGGTGAGCGTTGGACTTTCCCTCCCTGAAGCAGAATACTCAAGTATATATCACACATACCATAATATATGTTTATAACTAACACGCATATAACAAACTCACGGATATTATGAACTAAAGCGAACTACGGATATAATATACAAAAATTAGTGGTCCATTTGAGTTCATTATAACCATAGTATACTGTATATCCCTCTCAGGATATAAAGGATGTATAGGGGCACTGTCACAAAAACTAGAAAATAAAATAAAATTATGGAATATATCATGACACATAATATTATACACAGGAAGTATGTTATTATAATTATGTTACTGTTACATCCAGGGAAATACTACAAGAAAATAACATATCGGATATATCATGCAAGGAAATATAACCTACTGGTATATGATGAAAAGATAACTGTCACAAGAAGGAAATACCACACAGATCATGACAAAACTGTTATATCAGGGAAAATAAAACTCATATCAGGCATATGCTATATCAGGGAAATATAACACATATCAGGCATATGTTATATCAGGGAAATATAACACATATCAGGCATATGCTATATCAGGGAAATATAACATACATCAGGCATATGCTATATCTGGGAAATATAACACATATCAGGCATATGCTATATCAGGGAAATATAACACATATCAGGCATATGTTATATCTGGGAAATATAACATACATCAGGCATATGTTATATCTGGGAAATATAACATACATCAGGCATATGCTATATCAGGGAAATATAACATACATCAGGCATATGCTATATCAGGGAAATATAACATACATCAGGCATATGTTATATCAGGGAAATATAACATACATCAGGCATATGCCATATCAGGGAAATATAACATACATCAGGCATATGCTATATCAGGGAAATATAACACATATCAGGCATATGCTATATCAGGGAAATATAACATACATCAGGCATATGTTATATCAGGGAAATATAACATACATCAGGCATATGTTATATCCAGGAAATATAACACATATCTGGCATATGTTATATCTGGGAAATATAACATACATCAGGCATATGTTATATCTGGGAAACATGAGACATATCAGGACATATCTATTATATCCAGGAAATATGAGACATGTCAGGACATATCTGTTATATCCAGGAAATATGAGACATGTCAGGATACATGAGAGTAACTGACCACATAGAGAGTCTCTGGTCCACATCCTTGAGGAAGCTGCAATGGAACTCGTAGATGGGGTCGAGGTAGGAGAACACGAGCTCCACCATGGAGTTGAGGATCATGGTGTCCCCACTCAGAGCGTTGCGGAACCACTGCAACAATGACATACATACATCGACAATCCAGATGTACTCTCACAATAAAACACCTCGGTTTCACAATCCTCATCCCCCTTTGGATTTTTGCAATATAAAAACAGGAATTCAAAAAGCCTCCGAAAAACCTTGGTATGCAACATTTATCATATTAAACCAAAAGATAAAAACACACTCTGATTTACATGTACAGTAAACTACGGTTATAACGAACACGCTTATAACGAACTGACCGATATAACGAACTTATTTTTTAGTCCCGGCCTTTTGTTGTATATATGCTATATATCTGCTTATAACGAACTACGGTTATAACGAACTAAAACAAGTGCAAAAGTGAGCGTGGCTCACTTATACGCCCGACTCGCCTATTGTGTCAGTAGTTACAAATTAAATAGCTAGGAAAGGGTTAGGGTTTGAAAAATTCATAAAAAATGGAAAATTAATAAAAACAATTTTTTCTTTTGACTGTGCACCCCTCCATATGACACAGATTATATGTACTAAGTTTGAGATGAATTCACTGAATAGTTTAAGAGAAAACGCGCAGACAAAGTTTTCGGACGGACGTTAGGGTTGAAAAAATTCATAATAAAATCGAAAATTAATAAAAACAATTTTTTTCTTTTGACTGCACCCCTCCATATGACACAGATTATATGTACTAAGTTTGAGATGAATCCCCTGAATAGTTTAAGAGAAATCGTGCGGACAAAGTTTTCGGTCGGACAGACGGAACCTTGGTATAACTATATACCCCTGACATTTTGTCGGGGGTATAATTAGTGGTCCCTTTGAAATCATTATAACCGTAGTTCACTGTATTTCAAATTCACAAAGCCAGCCATAAGCTCCCTCTTCTCAGAGAGATAGCATGGCACTTTGCACCGTACAAAGATGGACGACTTGGCTTGACTCACCACACAGACAAGTTCCAGGTCCTTCTTGTAGGTCCGCTCTGTCATGAGTAGCTCCTTGGCGATGTAGTAGGAACTGTCCACCGGGTGGCGCTGCAAGTACGGATATAAAACACACGTAAGTTGTTGGACAATACACCGATGCATCGATGGATCGTGATATTTTACATGTCGATACAAGTATCACAGTTGCACACAAAGTAAAAAGTATCGAAACACCAATATAGTGAACATTAGTGGTAAAACATTAATATTTTGATCCATTGCGTCATACTTGACACTGCCAACTGGAAATCGTCAGTGTGGCAGGTATTTGGCCATCCTGTCTATGAAAAAGATGGCTTACACACCACAGATAAGAGCACATGCAAGTATCGTGATACGTATCGGATTGTGAGCAAGGTATCGTGATACGTATCGGAACATGAACAAGGTATCGTGATACGTATCTGATCATGAACAAGGTATTGTGATACGTATCGGATTGTGAACAAGGTATCGTGATACGTATCGGATCCTAAACAAGCTATTGTGATACGTATCGGATCATGAGCATGGTATCGTGATACATATCGGACTGTGAGCAAGGTATCGTGATACATATCGGATTGCATAGTTGGTGTATTGTCACAGCCCTAAAACACATGTTGAAATTACGTGTAATACACTTAACTTATTCCTATTACATACCAGCCATACACCTGTCATATATATAGTATGACTCTATCTTATTGCAGGCTCTATATAATCGCGGTATCGGTAAATCTCGTCATCCACACACCCTGTTGACTGTTAACTTATGCAAATCTAGGCATGATAATTAATTGCTTGGTCGAACACAGGACTCGTTGCGGTACGTGACAGCAACTCGTAAAGTATTCACGTTAACTTGTTTAGAATAGTTTCCGGAATGGTTTTGAAGTGGAATTACCCCTGCCTGTATTGGAAATTGATTAGGAAAGAACCCATTTGTTTTGAAGATGTCCCTTTACAAAATAGCCTTACCGCGATAATATAGAGTTGCCTGCCCTTGAGTCCCTAATGACGATGTCCCTTTACAAAATAGCCATATCGCGAATATAAAGAGTTGCCCACCCTTGAGTTGCTAATGAATTTGTTGATCGAACTCGGTAAAAAAAATCCACAATGATCAATCCAAATTGATGTGTCATAAAAGTTGAACAAGGAACAAGACCCATTTTCTGTACGACATATCTAATATGTCAGTAAGCATACACCTTAATGACCAATAGTAAATTAACTACAGCAATAATATAGTGTACCATCTTAACAGTCATATTTACAGGTTTAATATCTGGATCTGATCCCACAATCAAAGGTTTCTGGTATATCTAAGGGACATAACTCTCACAATGAAAAGCGGCACCTCAAACAACTGCCCTGGATTCTCACGAAACAGTATGACTATTGTGAGGTCAAAGCACATGGGTCACAACGTTGGTTTGTTGTTTAACACTGCACTCAGCAATATTCCAGCTATATGACAGCAGTCTGTAAATAATCGAGTCTGGACCAGACAATCCAGTGATTAATATCATGAGCATCAATCCACACAATTGTGATCGATGACATGCATCAACCAAGTCAGCGAGCCTGACCACCCGATCCCATTAGTCGCCTCTTAGGACAAGCATAGTCGCCTTTTACGGCAAGCATGGGTTGCTGAAGACCTGTTCTCTACCCGAATCTTCACGGATCAGGATCTTTGAGACCAGAACGCAAGTGACAGATTGAAATTCTGTATTGAAGTGGTACAGAAATGAAACAGAAGGGTTTGAGAGAGCAGACATCTGTTTGGATGTTGGACCAACACATTCGTCACACAGATTGGGTGGTCCAAGGCTGCTCAGGGTTAACCTGAAGTGACCCAGCTATGGAAGTGTTGTCAGATATTCACGCATATTCTACCCCAGCTCTTCACGGGCCTTACGATGCGACAATGTTGATGTTAAATTTTAACTAAATTCCTAAGAAACTAACCTTGACCTTCTTCTTTATGTCAATGTCGTCGTGGTCCTCCGACTTGGATGTGGACAGCGTGGAGATGTTGCTGGGGATGCCGAAGCTGGAGGTGCTCACTGTCGATGCCGCGATCATGTAGGCCTTCTTGTTCTTGGACGGAGGTGTGAGGGGGTAGTCACTCTCATCCAGGATGGGAGGAGGAGGAGGGGGAGGGGGTGAGGGGGACGATGGGGAAGGAAGGGTCTCGGTTCTCTCAGTTGTTGGAGAAGAGGTAGTGGCACTTGTGCTTCGCATTAGACTGAAATATACAGAGTTGAGTTGTGTATGTCCTTGTGTCTTGTTAGAGGCTGACCAATTGGTATTCAGAGGGGGCTGGGAATTCAGAAAAAGTAAAAATAAATTGTCCCCCCAAATTCTTTAAATAAATAATTATGCTTCATATTGTTGGATTTTTTTTTTTATCATACCTCCATGTCAGAATGATGAGATCTGATGATCCACGTGATATTGATAAATACTTTATCGTTCAAAACTGGCCCTTACAGGAGATATATCGCTTGGGTGATATCAAGCAATATCTACATTGTATATATCGCTTCAATGAAATTGCATCACAATTCTTTGCAGACCATTGTGACATCATTGGTTACCATGACGTCACATGACATCACTCGTTGATTAAAGTGAAAAAACTACTCGGCAAGCCTAAGAGTTTTGCTTTTATCAACTCATGTTGATACATTTGATATCAAAAGACACTTGGGTGAGATTCTATATATATTATTATCTCATGTCAGAATGATGAGCTCTGATTGGTCCATGTGATCTTGATTACATACTGTGTAACCCGCCTTGGAGGGGAATAAATTTCTCAGCGAGGGAATAAATCTCTTATACCTCGCCCATGCAATACAGGCTGCAGGTGGATTTCTGAGAGGCAAAATAAATCCCTCATACCCCGCTTCCAAGCAAAAAGCCACACGTTTTTTCCCGAGTCAATTGAAGTCACGTGACACAGCGCAAGTAAACCTCAGCTCAATCAAACAGCTGTTTTCTATCAATTTTGAATTTGTTTTTATTCTTTTACAATGTCATATTAAAATTTGTCGGTAAGATAAATTCATTGTAGCAGGATCACTTGGGTTTCATGGGGTTTTATGCGTCCCTCATTAGGTTTTATACCACTCGGGACGCATAAAATCCCATGAAACCCAAGTGATCCTGCTACAACTTATATTGTCTGCCACAAAAGTTACAGTGTTTTATATCTTTGCTCACAGTTTTAATAAAGGAAATATCTGTTCTTGGAGCTGTAGCAGAAAAAATTGGTCTGAAAACAAAATCCCAGGCCTCACAAGAATATCAAATGGTCTGTCCCTTGATCAATAGTCCAGAGTGAGTGAGTGAGTGTGGTTTTACACCGCTATTAGCAATATTAGCAATATTCCAGCAATATCACGGCGGGGGACACCAGAAATGGGCTTCACACATTGTACCCACGTCAGGAATCGAATCCGGGTCTTCGGCGTGACGAGCGAACACTTTAACCACTAGGCTACCCGACCGCCCCTCAAGCTATGTCACGGTGGGGAAGCACACAGAATATGGGCTTTAACCACTGGGCTACCCGACCGCCCCTCCAGCTATGTCACGGTGGGGAAGCACACAGAATATGGGCTTTAACCACTAGGCTACCTGACCGCCCCTCCAGCTATGTCACGGCGGGGAAGCACACAGAATATGGGCTTTAACCACTGGGCTACCCGACCGCCCCTCCAGCTATATCAAGGTGGGGAAGCACACAGAATTTTCGGCTTTAACCACTAGGCTACCCGACCGCCCCTCCAGCTATGTCACGGCGGGGAAGCAAACAGAATATGGGCTTTAACCACTAGGCTACCCGACCGCCCCTCCAGCTATGTCACGGCGGGGAAGCACACAGAATATGGGCTTTAACCACTAGGCTACCCGACCGCCCCTCCAGCTATATCAAGGTGGGGAAGCACACAGAATATGGGCTTTAACCACTAGGCTACCCGACCGCCCCTCCAGCTATGTCACGGTGGGGAAGCACACAGAATATGGGCTTTAACCACTAGGCTACCCGACCGCCCCTCCAGCTATGTCACGGTGGGGAAGCACACAGAATATGGGCTTTAACCACTGGGCTACCCGACCGCCCCTCGAGCTATATCAAGGTGGGGAAGCACACAGAATATGGGCTTTAACCACTAGGCTACCCGACCGCCCCTCCAGCTATGTCACGGTGGGGAAGCACACAGAATATGGGCTTTAACCACTGCACCTATATATAGAGCATGTCCTACGTGAAAGGGTAGGGTTTTATGCCTGTCAGGACTTGATGGTACAGTCAGCCAGGGTCTTGTTCCACAAAGCCGTCACAGTCTTTGATTAAACATAATGTAACAAATTTTATATTCGTGATAACACTTTCTTAGGTACAGATTCTAGTACCGGTACTTTTTTGGGCTGAGTCCTATCCAGGATTTGAACCCATACTTTTGTTGCATTTGGATGAGACTCAACCCCAAAAAATACTTGAATCTGTACTTTACAAAGAAAGTGTTATCCCAAATATAACATTTGTTACATTTGACCACTTTCTAAATGGCATTGTGTCTTCTTAGCTTTCGGCCATGGGAGCCGTGCCAATTTACACTTGTCAGAGGGGTACTCAAAGTATGTGATCTAGACTACCAGTTGTCGGACTTTCATTCTTGTGGAAGCCTCGGTGGATGAGTGGGTTAGATAGCTGACTTTGTGTGTTGGCGATTAGGTGCCTCATCTCTGAGAGTGTGGGTTCAAATCCTGGATGGGACTCAACCCAAAAACGTACTGGAATCTGTACTTTACAAAGAAAGTGTTATCCCAAATATAACATTTGTTACTTTTGACCACTTTCTAGTTGCATTGTGTGTTCATATGATCAAACAGTTGTAGCACTTCAGTGACTTTGAGACACATGACCAAGGTCACATATAACCATCTTCCCGAGGCAAGAGAGTTAACTGACTTTAAAAGTCCAGTTTCCACCCTTGCCGAACTAGTCTGGAATTCCTGGGCACGAGCGTATCGCCACCAGTGGCTATTACGAGTTATGTCCTTTCTATGCCTCTCCTTTTGACCAATCAGATTCAACCTCTCGTATCACTTGCATTTGCTTCAAACAAAAAACAGTAGCGCCCAGTCAAGACGATCTGATCGTTAATCAAGATCTATATTGTGAAAAAACGAGTCTTACATCGCGAAGTGCATCAAATCACGTGAGCACCTTGATTAAAAACATGAAAAGATTTAGATTATATCTGTTGACAACGAGTTAGCGGTGCACATGCTTTGCAAATCCTGCAGTCGACCGAAATCTGCATGACACTTTACGAACCGGATTTCGATATCGGTGCGCGATTTTGATTGGACTATGCATAGACTCGTTAGTCCAGCCAAAATGTAACTCCATAATACCAGCCTAGTTCGGCAAGAGTGGAAACATGACTTTTAAAGTCAGTTAACTCTCTTGCCTCGGGAAGATGCATATAACAACCTACCTACCTTCAGTCATCTCTTACAAGCACATAGGGTGCAGGGCTTCAAAGAGGAGATGTTCTAGAGCCTTACCTCAATCTGTTGGGAGGACTGAGATTAAGGTCGTCCTCCTGCACGACCTCTGGAATGTTCTCCACTTCGGGACATCGGGACAGGCGGTGTTCATCTTCCATACTCAGGGCCATGTCCCGCGACCCAAGAACAGGGGCTGAAAACTTCCTATCCATGGCCTTGAACCCGGATGGAGAGTTGGATGGGTGAAAGAATCTTGGAGAATCAACTGGAAGAGAAAAGCAGACTTTTAAGACGACATTATTTTCCAAAAATTGCCTCAGTTACCTCCCCTTAGTCTTACCTTGACCAAGGGGAAATAAAACGTGTCCTGTGTTAATGGGGTGTATGCAGGATGTTTTTGTGGGACTTGTGATTGTTTAACTACAAGAGGAGAACACAGTTCCGAGTTGACAGGTTGTTTTACACAGCATTTTTCGTGTGACATGTGACAGATAAACTGTAAGAGTGAGTGAGTGCAGGTCGCAGACGTTTACCACTTTGCTGACAGGTTGTTTTACACAGCATTTTTCGTGTGACATGTGACAGATAAACTGTAAGAGTGAGTGAGTGCAGGTCCCAGACGTTTACCACTTTGCTGAAACCCATGAGCACAGGTATGGTGTTAACAAACCTAGAAACATAATCGTGCAAACAGGATTCGAACCCATGATCAAAGGTTTCTGGCGTGCCCAAGGAACGCAACTCTGCACAGCGAATTGCATCACCTTAGATGACTAGGCCACTGTGCCCCGTGAAACGTAAGAGCAGATATTGGGCGACTACGCGTCGTAAGAGGCAACTAACTGGATCAGGTGGTCAGGCTCGCTGACTTGGTTGATGCATGTCATCGATCCCAATTGTGTTGATCGATGTTCATGATGTCAATCACTGGATTGTCTGGTCCAGACTCGATTAGCTACAGACCACTGTTATATAGCTGGAATATTGCTGGAGTGTGACGTTAAATCCCAAACAAAACAAAAACATTTTGGTCCAACAGCTACCTCACACTCATCATCGGAATGACCTTCCACTCATCCACTCTCACTGGTGTCCATCCTCGCCTATCCAGTGTATATTTATCCATTCTCTTATGATAAATACCCTAGAGCCATTCATCCCCATAGCATTGTATCAGAACTCATGTGACCATCTCTATATCACCAACTTAGCACTGAATGAATGGACCCGTGAAGATCCGGGGTAGAATAGGTCTTCAGCAACCCATGCTTGCCAAAAAGCGTCTATGCTTGTCGTAAGAGGCGACTAACGGGATCGGGTGATCAACCTCGATGACTTTGTTGATGCATGTCATCGATCCCAATTGCATGGATCGATGCTCATGATGTCAATCACTGGACTGTCGGGTCCAGGCTCGATTGTTTACAAACCGTCGTCATATAGCTGGAATATTGCTTAGAGCGGAGTTAAACAACAAACAAATTAGCAAAGAATGGATCTTGCTAGTGAGAGTCATTAGATTAGGTGGCTATTTTGTACCTTGAGCCATTTGAATCAGGCTCTTAATGTTCCTATGGTAGCAAACGGTTCTTGGGCTTTTATGATGAAAGAATAGAGATATAATTCACGGGCTAATTAAGGATGGAATTTGTGTGTGAAGCATTCCTATTGGATACCCTTCTATCAAAAAGTGTTGGGTATATAGTTCGTATCAATACATGTTGGTGTCCAATGAGGTCGGGTGCAATGGGGTGTAACATGGTGTGCAAGATTACTGCACTTATATGAACGCATGGGTTCGTGCATGCTTTTGTGTGTGGCTGCTTGTACTTGTCTGGACTGATGCCGATTTATAGTGCTAGCTCACTGAGATACCATGCTGCAGTTTAACATGAATACCCCACTCCGAAGAATACTAACTCCGAGCCAACCAGTCTTGTTTTAGTCCCAGTGCCAGGCAGGATCGAACCCTGGACCTTCTGCTCTCTGGGCGGATGCTCTACCACTTGACCACAGAGGCGGTCTGGTTTCAAATAAGAGACTGATCCATAATTATACAAGGCGGGTGATGCCAGTAAATTTTGTCTTCTGTGAGAGGATTAAATTACATCCAAAGTAGGTATCATGTGTTTGTAATTCTTTCCATTGGCACTGGAATCAGCAAGCACAGGAACATTGGACATTGTACATGTGACGATACCAACGTTTTTCTTACAAATATCTATTTACGGATTCAGCGAAGGAAATGACATATAATTATTTTAGTAGTACTTGTAGGGTTGGTTGTTTAATGCTGAGTCAGCCTTATTCCAGCAGTATCATGTTTGGTTGTAGATAATCAAGTGAGTGAGTGAGTGAGTCGGGTTTAACACCGCTTTTAACAGTATTCCAGTTATATCGCGGCGTGTCAGCTTAATGTGGGAGGAAATTAGATAATCAAGGCAACCAGTCATTGACAGCCACCATTACACACACCTTGTGGCCTATACCACTGTATTAGTTATACTAGTGGCCCTACAACTAATCCACATCAGATATACTAGTGACCCCAAAACTCATCTACAATAGTTTATACTAGTGGCCCTAAAACTAATCTACATTAGTTGATACTAGTGGCCCTACAACTTATCCACATTAGATATACTAGTTGCCCAAAAACTTATCTACACTAGTTAATACTCGTGGCCCTAAAACTAAGCTACATTAGATATAGTAGTGGCCCTACAACTAATCTACACTAGCTGATACTAGTGGCCCTACAACTAATCTACGTTAGTTGATACTAGTGCCCTTACAACTACACTAGCTGATACTAGTGGCCCTACAACTAATCAACAGTTGATACTAGTGACCCTAAAAACTAATCTACACAAGTTAATACTAATGATCCAACAACAGACCCACAATAGTTGATACCAGAAACCAGAAAAGGCTGGTCAAACCTTCTTATTTCTCACTTGGTGCTTGCAATGCACAATATTGAATAGTGACAAATTCAATGATTTTTCTTGTAGTGATTCTGAGATTGAGATACAAAAATATATGTTTTTGTTTATTGCTATTTATCATGATAAAAGAAATTTTCAATATTATAAATAATACTTATCAGCATTAAGTGTACTACACAAGGCAATTTTCCTCCATTCCAGTGGGATTAGGCCTAACTTAAGTGTCAGTCATTGCCATCTACTTGTAACATGCCAGGGTTTGCCAAACAATGTATAAACAACAATCCTGCCACTGAACATCTGCTGCTCCCCTAACAACTTTTCTTTAACCCTCTAAATGTCAGACTGTTGAGAGCAAGAATCACTTCAAGTTGTGGAATTGTTTCTCTCTCCATGAAAACATTGCTTCTTATCGATGTACGCCAAACATGCTGCACATTATCTCTCTTAGAAAAGAATATCAAAAGAATGGGCTCTGGATCAAACAAACAAACAATTCTGTAACTGTGGCTCCAGAACAAATATTCATGGGATGGTGCTTCTCATAATGTCAAACTTAAAGGCCCGACCTACTGTATTCCTTCTGTTACAAGCCCGGGAGTCTATTCATTTCACGCAAGCCATTGACCCGGCGTCTGTTAGAGGCTGGTGTGTACTTGAGGTCTGGTTTATTCTGTTTAATGCTGGCACTGTGGCAACTCACTACCTTACTCACTACACATTATTAATCACTAACATATCACAGTCTTAAAGACAAGGTTTGTAACAGAGGCTCGGTTTCTATTTTTGTGACAGAGAGTATGACCCCGTGCCTAATAGGTGAGGTGAGGTAAAATTAGGTTTAACGTCGCGTCCAAGATTATTGCACTTATATAGCGACGTGCATGCACACGTGTGTGTGTGTGTGTGTGTGTGTGTGTGTGTGTGTGTGTGTGTGTGTAGTCCTGACTGATGCCGATTTATAGTACCAGCACACTGAGACACCATGCCGACGTTTAACATGAATACCCCACTCAGACACAGTATACTGACTCCGAGCCGACCAGTCCTTGTTTTAGCCCCTTAATGCCAAGCGCCAGACAGGGTAACAACATGTACCATCTTTTAACGTCTTTTGGTATGACGCGGCCGGGGATCGAACCCCGGACCTTCGGCTCTCCGGGCGGACGCTCTACCACTAGACCACGGAGGCGCTCTCCGGGCGGACACTCTACCACTAGACCACGGAGGCGGTCTCCGGGCGGGTGCTCTACCACTAGACCACGGAGGCGGTCTCCGGGCGGGTGCTCTACCACTAGACCACGGAGGCGGTCTCCGGGCGGGTGCTCTACCACTAGACCACGGAGGCGGTCTGGTGCCTAATAGAGGAAATACAGTAACTTAGTTCCTTGGGTTATCGTACACCTGCATGGGCTGATGCAGATAATGTTTGTACACGTGTTGCAGACAGGAACTCTGTGCATGCCAATGCAAACAGCATTCTGTGATTGTATTCTTCCACAAAATATTTGGGGTGGAGTGATATATAATAATGTCAAACCTGCAACACCAAAAGGTTTGACACGTGTGTGGGTGTAAATACTGCAATGCCACCTTTCTTGAAACTTGTACAAGCTCAATGTCTGCCGTAATACATTTATAACATGTGGCTGGTGAAACACTTTTTTACGGATCAGTTGTTGACTATTATGAACTAATGTAAATCAGTTGTAGGTGACTGGTATCAACTAATGTGGATCAGTTGTAGGTGACTGGTATCAACTAATGTGGATCAGTTGTAGGTGACTAGAATCAACTAATGTGGATCAGTTGTAGGTGACTAGTATCAACTAATGTGGATCAGTTGTAGGTGATTAGTATCAACTAATGTGGATCAGTTGTAGGTGACTAGTATCAACTAATGTGGATCAGTTGTAGGTGACTAGTATCAACTAATGTGGATCAGTTGTAGGTGACTAGTATCAACTAATGTGGATCAGTTGTAGGTGACTAGTATCAACTAATGTGGATCAGTTGTAGGTGACTGGTATCAACTAATGTGGATCAGTTGTAGGTGACTAGTATCAACTAATGTGGATCAGTTGTAGGTGATTAGTATCAACTAATGTGGATCAGTTGTAGGTGGCTAGTATTAACTAATGTGGATCAGTTTTAGGTGATTAGTATCAACAAATGTGGATCAGTTGTAGGTGACTAGTATCAACTAATGTGGATCAGTAAAACAATTGCCAATTGTACATTTTGTACCAACCTTGAGACCTACAGCGGGTACCTGGGTAGGGTCGGGTAATAGGGGGCGGGTATCCGGGGAGTATAT